TTCAAAAATTTATTAAACTTTTATTTCACTTTTTATTATTTTCCCTACAATTGATAAAATTTGCAAAGTTAAGAATATTACCCTCTTTTTAATGAATTCGCCTTGTTTAATGTTAATTAACACATTTCCAGTAAATTCGCCTGCACGATGTAAATTACCCATTTTCTAATGAATTCGCCTCGTTGAATGTAAATTTTCAATTTTCCAGTGAATTCGCCTTTTTGATGTAAATTATCCACTTTGCGGTGAATTCGCCTTGTGTAATGTAAATTGCCCACCTCCAAATAAATTCCACTTATTCTATGTAAATTATCAACGTTTCATAAATTCGCTTTGTTTGATGAAAATTTCCAATTTTGATTGTATTGTTTAATAAAATTCGTCACTTTGAAATATTCTTCAACTAAGTTTTATCTAGACCTTCTCATAGTCATCAACGATCATGATTATTTTACGATGCAAGGCATAAAACTAAAAGCAGCAAAGCTAAGGATGAGGAAATTTATTATGTTAGAGAATAATGTTGTCAGCAACAAAAGACAATCGAGCATTTAAAGAACAAAAAAGACATCAAAAGTTCGAGGGAAACAAAATCGTGCAAAAAAGTTACAAAATTGCTATAAAATTAACTCTGAAGAAGATCATAAAATTTAGCAGCTGCAGAAGGAGCAAAAATGAGGAAAAAGTCGAGAATTGAGGACAATTTCTCAGCGGAACAAGAAAAAGGAAATTTTTTTAAAGTCATAAAAATTAAAATGAATTGAAAAATGAAAATTCAAGAAGAAAACTTTTTATTCGTTTTTTATTATTCACGATAAAAAACGAGGAAAAAAATATTCCCAAAAAAAGAAGAAAAGTTGAGTAAGTTATAAAGAATTGGAGCATTTTTCGAACTTTGGCTCTTTTGTATTCACAGCTGAGACATTCTGGAGAGCTTAGAGATTGACTGACATACAGACAAGTCATAGAAACATGCAATAGTGCTTACCAGAGAAAAACTTACTAAAGAGCAATTTATTAACAAAAAAAAAAACGCAAATAGAATTATGAGAATGTGAAATGTAATCATGGCGATGATGATATAATATGCTTTCTCGCTATCGGGATCGGGATCGGGATTTCCCGGGATTTACCGATCCCGATCAATCCCGGGATCCCGAAATTTATCGGGATCGGGATTGAAAATCCCGGTTTTTTAGTTTAGGAAATTATTGATGTTTTAGAACCTGCTAAATACGCGACAGAAGAATTATTGCGTAAATCAAACGATTTATTAATTGCTGAAGGAACATTAACTTTTTGCTAGACGAATTGTTGCTACAAGGAACATTATTGTCTCAAAAGGTTTACGATATGAATTGCGCTCGCATAGGTGCACGAAGAAATGGAACATTAATTGACTTAATACTTTACCTGAATAATCCTCAATATATTTCTTTAGACAAGCATTTTAAATCGTCAATAAAAGCTGCAATACATAAACTTGGCATTGACTTATTGAAGCAGTATTTTGTCAAAAACTCTACAAATGGAGCTATGGAAGCTTCAACATCCAGTGCAAATCAAATCCAACCGTCAAACATTTCTATTCGAGATAGACTGAAACTAAGCATATCTGAATATACATCATTAACAACAGATGCAGCAGCAACAGAACCAAATAATTTGAAAAGAGAGTTTAATTGGTATGACAAAAATAAGAAGAGAACCGTTTTGTTAGATCAACTTTACGATGCATTGATAACAATGCAGCCGACCTCAACTCAAAGCGAACGAAATTTCTCTATTAGTAACAACATTCTTACAAAACAAAGAAAACGTTTACTTGACAAGAATCTAAATGCAATTGCATTTGTTAAAAGTTTTTTCATTAATGCTTAATTTTTATTATTATATTCACACCGTTTTCTTTAACCTTTAAACTTACATCTTTATCAACATTTATTTTCTATTTTTGTTTATGCTCACATTTTTCAAAGGAAACATGGATTAAAACTCTACCTTGTAACACATAAAGTATAACTAATTAATTAAGGAATAAATGACCGTATAAGTAGCAAAAAAATATATAATTTTTTTTGGGAAAAAAAGCAGAAAAATGCTGTTTTTTAAATTTTTTTACATATTCGGGATTCCCGGGATTTCCCGGGAAATCCCGAAAAATTTCAATCCCGATCCCGATCCCGAAAATTTGTCGGGACCGGGATTTCGAGAAAGCATAATGATATTGAGACTGTAAAACGGGAATAATGGGAAAAAGTTTTGAGAACTTAAGCTTCTTTTGTTTGAAAATAAAAATTGGGCTCATTTTTTTGGTGGTTTTCCGCTTGAATATTTTGTTTTCGCTTTGCTTGAGAAAGTTTGAAGTTTTCGAGCAAGTTTTAATATTGTATAAAAAAATTTGCATTTTTGTGAATATTTCTGATTAAAATGAACATTAGCAATTTTTTCTGTTTTTTTTTTTATATAAACTAATATTTGTTAAGGAGCGAAAAATACGCGTAGCTCAATAATATTATTTTATGCAAAAAAAATCCCATTTTCCTTGCTTTCCAGTGTAAATTACTCATTTCAATTCGCCTTGATTTCTAGTACAAATTGCTCATTTCAATTCACCTTGCTCTTCAGTCGAAATTGCTGCTTTCAAGTCGCCTCGATTTCCAGTCTCAATTGCTCATTACAATTCGCCTCGATTTCCAGTATAAATTGCACATTTCAATTCGCCTTATTTTCTAGTCTAAATTTCTCAGTTGATTTCGCCTCGTTTTCCATGTTGAGTGTTCCATGTGATTTTGCCATACTTTTAATATGCTTTGCTTCCTTTTTTTCACTTGCCGATAAGCTACAATTGTCATTTCAACAACACCACAGCAGCCACAAATCTTAACTAGAAAATCAAAAATTTTAATTTAAAAAGGTTGTTTCCAGTTCTTCTTACGCCAGCTTTCAATTTATCGACAGTAATACAAAAAATAAAATCTTTCCCTTTTCACTTTCAATTTTATTGTTATCACTTCAGCATAAATGATTATTATATTTATATCGAATCTATATCGGCCAACTTGAGGTCCTACTGTTGCTTCATATTATTGATATTATTCAGTTCTGCCCACGCACATCCATAATAAATAAATGGGGTTTAAATTCAATTTAAAATTATTCTCTTTTGCATCCTTAAAACTCCAATAATGTAGCAATAAACATCACTATAGGCATTTTAAAATAACCTTCATACTCTCTCAGCAGCCTTTTCATCTCCATTCAATGCCAGCAACCATGAAATTATGATAAAAACATTTAATTTTATCGTATTTAATGCACTCAATTGTATTTAAGTTTTAATAACTGCATAAACATTGAATAATCTTTCATACTTTGTCATAACTTCCGGTGCTCTTGATATGCAGCATCAGAATCATTTGATCGTGACCGAGTTTTCTTCATTTATTTTTTTTTCAATGCAAAAATAATTTTTTTTATTTTAATAATTTTAAACTTTTATTGCTTGAATGTAAATAAAATTGAATGATTCTTCGCGATATTGTCGTAAGTCCATTAGCAACTTTGAAAATCCGTAGTAAATCAATACTGCTTAATAAGTACTATAATATATATATATCGTTGGAAAGGTCTTTCAATATACTTTTTACCGTCGCCATTTTTGGAATTTTTGAAACGGTTTTATCGGTTCTATATCGGTTCAAAGTCACTCAAAAATGAATGTCTAATAACTTTTGAACGAAATTAGCTTTATTAAAAATTCTTTTTGATTTTAATAGCCTACATAAAAGCTCATAGCTTTTTGATAGTTTCAATTTTTTTCCATGGAGGTTACATCATTTTAAACGCCCCCAAAGTTGAAACTTTAAACAATCATAACTCTTAATCTGTAAAAGATTAAAATATGAAACCTTTACCAAAATATTTCTAATTTTATCTAGATTAATCTGCATAATCAAAAAATGTGGTCCATTTATAAATTACGTCACATTTTCGAAAAAACATAATTCTTTAAAACTAATTTATTTTTTTTATGTTAATAAATTCAAAATCAATAAAAATTATTTGAATATTTAAAATCTACGTGAAAATACCTTTAAAATGATGTATAACATGAGTGGGGTTTGTTCATAAATAAGGTCACTTTTTTTTTTTTTAAATTTTTCATACTTTTTCAACAGATTTTATTTTAAAAAGCTTCCTCACTGCACTTTTTGACTTGTTATTCACTTTGTTTCTTCGTTTGCCAGACATTTTTATAAATTTTTAATAAAGCTAATTTCGTTCAAAAGTTATTAGACATTCATTTTTGAGTGACTTTGAACCGATATAGAACCGATAAAACCGTTTCAAAAATTCCAAAAATGGCGACGGTAAAAAGTATATTGAAAGACCTTTCCAACGATATATATATTATAGTACTTATTAAGCAGTATTGATTTACTACGGATTTTCAAAGTTGCTAATGGACTTACGACAATATCGCGAAGAATCATTCAATTAACATATTTTCATCAAAAAACTTGCAGAATATTAATTTTTTAAGGTACAGATACCTTCACAGTTAAATTTCGAGATTCAGGTGCTTTTACAAATGACGTTTGAGATGCAGGTGCCTCAACACTTGATTATTAATGTTCATTTGTCTTCTTCCGGTTTCTTTTGAATCAGGTGCATTCACATTAAAGTTTAAGTGCAGGTGCCTTCACAGTATAAGCCCATAGTTGATGATAAAAAAAGCTTCAAGAAATTGTTTTGACCAAAGGCGGTTAAAGAAAGAAATTATTTAATTTTTGACTAAGGTCGACCCTAGTCTAAATTTGATTTTTCACTTTTTTTTTGGTAAAGCCAAAAAATTTTATTCAAATAAATTAAAAGCATATGCTGTATAAACCAATAAAGTAATTCGATTATTAATTCAATTTTTTTTAATTTTTTTCCAAATACATTGATTATAAGTAACAGATTAATAATAATAGCTGGTGATGATAAATTCCATATTAAATCAATCTACTCATGCTAACCTTAGCAATACCTTCGATATTATAATCCCTAAGTCTTTTATGTCCAGCATAAATCACTATTGACATGATAACAACAACAATTGATAAAACGAATATAAAAAATGTCAAATTTTTATTTGTTTTTCTCAATTCCCAAATTTGGTCTTTCAAATCCTGAAATTCTTTCATTATTTCTGAATTTAAATGCAAAATATCGCCAAATTCTTCTTCAAATTCCTTCAATTCTCTTTCAGTGTCAAACAATTTAATTTCTGAATCGGAAATGTTTAAAAATTTAAATCGATTTGTTGCTGATGTTGAAGTTATTATGACTTTGCCCGGTGCACATCCATCTTTAGCTTCCTTAATTAATTCCAAGACTTCCGTTCGGTTTCCTTCTCTTGCTGTTCGTGCTACACAAGCATTACCACTGAGGTGTAGGAAGCGTAAATAGACAAGATGATCGAAGACTTCAGCATGAATTTCATAAATTCGATTATTACTGAGCCACACACTTATTAATTCCAAATTATATTTAAACAAATTTTCTTCAAGAACTTCCAATTGATTCTCAAACAAGTCCAGCATCTTTAATTTTGGAAATGGTTGTAAGTCACGCTGTGTAATTTTCGATAAAAATCCATCATTCAAGTAAATAACTTCAAGATTCTTAAATGTATCGTTTATAGACTGTGGGAAGTAAATCATTCTATGAAAGTCAGTTTTGACAGCCTTAACGTCGTCATTGCTTAATGATGAATTTGTATGCTCTCCAATGAAATTTGCTGGTGAATTCTCATCGGGATTAAAGACTAAGTTTTCTATGTTGCATGAGTAAAATTCTCCAACATGTTCAAAATCTTCATCTTCAAATTCACAGTGGATTAATAAGGTAGATGTAAGTGATGTGATGGCTGTGAGGTAAAGAATCGAGAACCTGGTTGGAAGGTTCAGAAATATTATTTGTAAAAGCTTATATCCGCTTTACTCACCCAAGTATGTTCATGTTGACTTATATTGAAGTCTGAATTGTTTTATCGATACGCTATTCCACTACTTACTTACTTAATCACAAACTATAGACTAAACTTTAGAATTATAATTCTATAATTAAATCAGTTGCTGTTTTTATCAACTTAGTTTCTTTTGGGCTCATTCACTTATTACGTTACGCAAAAAATACCTCCGGCCCTCATATAAAGTTTTTAAAGTTCATGTTTAAGCTGATTCAAATTTGTTGAACCTTCTTCATCTTAAATATTGGTCGTAATATGTGAACGATCCCTTCCACAATCATTCATTAAATGCATGCTCATTCATAAAAATTGACTGGACGCACAGTCAGAACTATAGAAAATTGCCGATAATGTCATTTGCAATGACTTGCTTAATACGAGGAATGGAAGTAGTTTAAAAAGCACAAAGTTCTAAGAAGAGAGTTTTATTTGTTCTGATGATCAAGAACACAATTTTTTTATTTGAGATTTCAAACCCAAACATTAATTTTGAGGCAAAGAATTAGGCGATGTGAGATGTAGGAATGAGTCTAGAATTATGTAGACAGAATGACAAAGATGCGAGAGCCATAAGTTCACCATGAAACGCACCTGGAGACATTGTGACCTACTGAAAGTTGAAACAAGAGCCGACATGAACACTAGTTTTAAGATCTGAACAGTTTTCAGTTTTGGCTGTTGGACACACAACTGCTTAGTGAAGATTATGCACTACAGACTGAGCTAGCATTTATAATATAGATTTAAGAATTATCAATGTTAAGAATAAAATTGTAGCGCTTAAAGGTTTTAGTAACACTATTGCACAATTTAAGATGAATAAATTGAAATTGTTATGTCCTACCAGAAGAACCTATTGTATATCGCTTCAAAAACTGTACGTTGAACATTCGAAAAAATTATCCTTTCTAGCAGAAGCTACATTGAAGCTTTAGGACGAGGTGAGAATATTTCACATGTAGGTGGAGCTGTAGTAAGGCTGGAGAGATTTTGATTTTTTCTTTCTCGTTCTAATGAAGATTTTGGAAACGATTATGAATATATAAAATATTAGCTGATTAAATATGCTGAAACAAGACCATCATTAAAACCATTGTTAAGTCCATCGTAGCTAGTTTAAATTAACGATTCTAATTCGTTAAAAATAGAATCTTCAACTCTGAAAACTCAAGCACAAAGTCAGTCAAATAAAAATTCATATATTTACTTTCAAAGTTTCATATTTATTTATTATTCAGAACTTTCCAATTTTTAAACTTCAAGATAGTAAAATTATAGCTTTGTAAAATTTAACTTCGAAGAGAAATTCCAGTGACATCACTAATGAAACCAAGATATCTATTAACTCTTGTTGATCCTTGATACTTGTTTGATCCAGACGTTACTACCATCACATTAATCCCAACAATTGTTGGCGTTCCATTTTCATAAATAACTGATGGACCTCCTGAATTTTAAAATATTAACATTTTACTATAAATTTCCGTGGATTTATCTGATTATTAAGAACCTGAATCACCGCCTTCTAATGATGAACTTCCACTTGCTGGCTGACTGCACAAATAAATTCCTAAATCACACTGACTCAATGAAAGTACTCGAAATTGTGTCCATTGAAGATATCTTGACAGTGCACCGCCACCAACACCACCTGGAAATTTAAGATTTAAATATTCCATATCCAAAATATCAACAAGTAACTTACCCCATCCAGCAGCTGTAATAGTTTGTCCTTCATAAGTCAAACTTGCTTGTGATTTTGCCGGCAATCTTACTGTTGTTCTTTCATGGTGATTCTCAATCAGTTTCCTTTATCCGAGTTATATGCTCTTTTCCGACGAAATAAATCTTTTGCAGTATAGACTACACAGCTAAATACTACTGAAACAGAAGAATACTTCACTCAATGTTTGGAGTCTGAATTATAACTAGCTTTATTTCAAATTTGTCTGCTCTATTTATATTAAAAATTACATGAATGTTACATACAGTTTCATCAACTATTTGACTATCATAAATCATATGAATTATTTTATGACTTCTGTCAAGCTATTAAACATAAATTGATCATCTTTTTATTACTAAGTATTCGGTGTAAGCTATTAAACTGACAATCGTGCATTAACATGTTTATACTCGTTATTGACCTAATACTTACAGTTTTGGTTTACAATATTCAACACTCCTCCTCAAAAGAATATTTATTTTGTAGATTAGCTGCTTCTCTCAATTTTTTAATTCGTTCACCAGTTAATGGTTTTGTTAACATATCTGCTATGTTATCATTTGTTGAACAATATTCTACAATTACTTCTTTCTTTTCTCTCAAATCCTTAATGAAGTGATATTTCGTGTCAATATGTTTTGTTCTGTTACTGAATTTAAGATTTTCAGTCATTTTAATGCAACTTTGATTATCTTCATAAATTTTTACTGGTTCTTGATTAACAATCTTAAAATCTTTGCAGATATTCCTAATCCACATCATATCTTTTACTGTTTCTGCCAATGCAATATATTCAGCCTCTGTTGAAGATAAAGAAACACAATCTTGTCTTCTACATGCCCAATTGACTGTACCACCATTCACCAAACAAATATATCCACTATTAGACTTTCGATTAACTTTGTTTTCAGCCCAATTTGCATCTGAATATCCATGAAGACTTAAATTTCCAGCTTTATTACTTAATCTCAACTTCAGATTTTTTGTTCCTTTCAAATATTTAATTATTCTTTTTACTTCGTTTAAGTCAATTTTTGTTGGATCTTTTATTTTCTGGCTAAGAATCGATACACTTGCGGATATATCAGGTCTTGTATTGGTTGATATATACAAAAGCATTCCAATTAATTTTTGATACTCTTTGTTGTCTCCTAGTTTTTCTGTACAAACTAATTTTTCATATCCAGGATCCAAAGGATATTTTGAAAATTTTGAATCTTCCAAACCAGATTTAATGACAACTTCATCAATATATTTTTCTTGATTTATCATAAAATTACCAAATTCATCTTTTTCTATTTCAATGCCTAAGAAAATTTTAACATCTCCCAAATCTTTTAATTCAAATTCCCTATTCATATTTACTTGTAACTCGGTCATCATCGCTTCACTGTTACATGCCATTAATATATCATCGACATGAATTAATACATAATTTGTATTTTCTTGATCTGTTTTATAATATAGGCATTGATCACTACTGCTCTGCACATAATTATTTTCTTCGAAAATTCTGTGCACTTCTTTATTCCATTGTCTTGCTGCTTGTTTCAAACCATATAAACCCTTTTTTAGTTTACATACTTTATCTCCTTTTTCAAACCCTTCGGGTTGCTTCATATAAATTTCTTCTTCAATTTTTCCATTTAAAAATGCTGTTTTAACATCAAAATGCTTCACTTTATATCCTCTTGTAGATGCTGTCGAAAGCATTATCCTAAAGGTAGTAGATCTTACGACTGGTGCAAATACTTCATCATAGTCTTCTCCAAACTTTTGTGAGAAGCCTTTTGCTACAAGTCTGGCTTTATATCTTGTTAAATTTCCTTGGTCATTTTTCTTTATTTTAAAAACCCATTTACATCCAATTGTCTTCCTCCCAATTGGTAAATCAACAAGTTCCCAAGTATCATTTTCATTTATGGCTTGTAACTCTTCCTGCATTGCTTTAACCCAAAAGTCTTTTTCTGGAAGAATACACACTTCATTAAAACTTGTTGGCTCTTTTATCTCATAAACATCACACTTGTTTGCTACATGATCATCAAATCCATATCTTTTTGGTGTCACTCCAGCATTAACTCTTGTCGATCTTCTTAAGTTATCATTTTTCTCCTCCTGAACCTCGTTCGGGATCAAAGTATTCTCTTCATCATATGAGTTATTAGTATTCCTTTCAGTTTCTTCTTCTATAATGCTTGTTGCATCAAAATAATCTTGAATACTCATCTCATTTTCTTCTTCAATATCTTCATTATTTCCTTCATTGATATCATCACAATTTTTCATTTCACTATCGTTATTCTTGTCATGATTATCACTCGATTCAACAGTTACATATTCTTGCATCTTCCCCACTTTTTTTAGGAACACAACATCTCTACTAATTGTAACAACATAATTCTTATTAACAACTCTGAATCCCTTTGATTCTTCGTCATATCCAATAAACTTCATTTTTTCCGCCTTCAAATCTAATTTCCTTCGCTTAGCGTCTGGTATTTTTACAAAAACTTCACATCCAAATTGATGAAATTCACTATAATTTGGTTTCTTACCAGTAAAGCATTCATAAGGCGACACATCTTTGTAGTTGCTCACAACTCTATTTAAAACATAACTAGCTGTGCTGATTGCCTCTGCCCAAAAATTTTTTGGTAAATGAGCATCTTGTAACATTGTTCTCGCAGCTTCCATCAATGTTCGATTTTTTCTTTCTGCTACACCATTTTGTTCAGGTGCATATCCAACGGTACATTGATATGAAATTCCTTCCTTTTTCAAATAGCTTTGAAGAATATTATTGATATATTCTTTTCCCCTATCTGTTCTCACAATCTTGGGTTTTTTACCATACTGCGTTTTAAGTTTTTCAATGTATTCAATTAGTTTTGTTGTAACTTCATCTTTGCCTTTAAGAAAAACAACTTCTGTGTATCCACTTTTAACATCTATAAATGTTGCAAAATATCTTGCTTTTCCAATAGATCTAACCTGCATTGGACCACAAACATCACTCACAAGACAGTCTAAAACTTCTTCAATTTCTTTTGCCTTTTTTGGAAAGCTTTTCCGTGTTAATTTTCCTTTGATGCATTCTTCACAATTGTCACTACATTCGCATTCGCTTATACTTAAACCTTTAGACTATGCTTTCTCGCTATCGGGATCGGGATCGGGATTTCCCGGGATTTACCGATCCCGATCAATCCCGGGATCCCGAAATTTATCGGGATCGGGATTGAAAATCCCGGTTTTTTAGTTTAGGAAATTATTGATGTTTTAGAACCTGCTAAATACGCGACAGAAGAATTATTGCGTAAATCAAACGATTTATTAATTGCTGAAGGAACATTAACTTTTTGCTAGACGAATTGTTGCTACAAGGAACATTATTGTCTCAAAAGGTTTACGATATGAATTGCGCTCGCATAGGTGCACGAAGAAATGGAACATTAATTGACTTAATACTTTACCTGAATAATCCTCAATATATTTCTTTAGACAAGCATTTTAAATCGTCAATAAAAGCTGCAATACATAAACTTGGCATTGACTTATTGAAGCAGTATTTTGTCAAAAACTCTACAAATGGAGCTATGGAAGCTTCAACATCCAGTGCAAATCAAATCCAACCGTCAAACATTTCTATTCGAGATAGACTGAAACTAAGCATATCTGAATATACATCATTAACAACAGATGCAGCAGCAACAGAACCAAATAATTTGAAAAGAGAGTTTAATTGGTATGACAAAAATAAGAAGAGAACCGTTTTGTTAGATCAACTTTACGATGCATTGATAACAATGCAGCCGACCTCAACTCAAAGCGAACGAAATTTCTCTATTAGTAACAACATTCTTACAAAACAAAGAAAACGTTTACTTGACAAGAATCTAAATGCAATTGCATTTGTTAAAAGTTTTTTCATTAATGCTTAATTTTTATTATTATATTCACACCGTTTTCTTTAACCTTTAAACTTACATCTTTATCAACATTTATTTTCTATTTTTGTTTATGCTCACATTTTTCAAAGGAAACATGGATTAAAACTCTACCTTGTAACACATAAAGTATAACTAATTAATTAAGGAATAAATGACCGTATAAGTAGCAAAAAAATATATAATTTTTTTTGGGAAAAAAAGCAGAAAAATGCTGTTTTTTAAATTTTTTTACATATTCGGGATTCCCGGGATTTCCCGGGAAATCCCGAAAAATTTCAATCCCGATCCCGATCCCGAAAATTTGTCGGGACCGGGATTTCGAGAAAGCATACTTTAGACTTCATACGTTTAATGTCGGCTAAATTGCGGTGACATAAAATTTTGTGCCATTCATGAATACATGACTCTTTCTCCTCCTTAATTTTATAACACAAATTAATTTCTTCTAAATGGTAAAGTCCATTTTTCCATTTAGCAACAGAAATACAATAATTTCCTCTTTTGAGTATACACTCTTCTTCTGTAAATTCAACTTTAAATCCTTTTTCTGTCAGTTTTCTAACTGACACTAAATTTCCATCCATCTCAGGTATGTACAAAACTTCGTTTAGTGTTACATCTATTATTTGATTTTTCCTTCCATCAAATACTTTGAGTTTTAGTGTAACCTTTCCTTCACCTTTAACTTTTACGCTTTTTCCATTTGCTATTTTTACACTTCCATTTAATTTATTGAAATCTGAAAACATATCTCTTTGACTACATATATGTTTTGTAGCTCCGGAATCGACGCACCAATCCTGAAGATTATCAGAAACAACTTTGTACCATTGATTGGACTTGACTAACTTAGCCAATCCATTTTTATTTTTCCATTCAATGAATTTTTTACATTGTGGTCTAATATGACCCTTTTCTTTGCAAAAACAGCATTCAGGATCTTCAGCGCGTTTAGCTGACCAGTATTGGGCATCTCTTTTTGTATTAGCTGATGATTTTCTATCATATTCTTCAATCAGCTTCATCTTAATTGTTTGCAAAGTTAGCTTGCTCTCTTCCCATGCTTCTAAAGCAGTTATCAACGCATCATAGTCTTCATTGAGGCTAGACAATATGATGTGAATAGCTGATTTATCATCTAAAGCAGCATCCATATCAGATAATTCATCAAGATCTTGAAATATTTTGTCAAGATGATCTCGTATAGGTTCTCCCTTTTTTAGCTCATACTTATGCAATCTTTTCTTAATTCTAATTTGATTGGATAAGCTTGAGCGTTGGTGATATTCTTGCAATTTTTTCCAAGCATCTCTTCCACCAGTGGCTTTCTTGACATGGATCAGTTGATTATTTTCAACGGACAAAGCAATCCATTGAAGTGCCTTCTTATCTTTCTTTAAGACATCATCTGCCAAATCTGCATCATTTCTCAACTCGATTGAGTCATAACAATCTTCCTTTTGAAGAAGCATCATCATCTTGAACCTCCATGATAAATAGTTGGTATTATTCAATTTTTCGATATGAAAAATTGATTTCTCAGATGTTGAAACAGAGCTGCTTCGTTCTGGGCCCATAACCTGTTGTTCTTTCATGGTGATTCTCAATCAGTTTCCTTTATCCGAGTTATATGCTCTTTTCCGACGAAATAAATCTTTTGCAGTATAGACTACACAGCTAAATACTACTGAAACAGAAGAATACTTCACTCAATGTTTGGAGTCTGAATTATAACTAGCTTTATTTCAAATTTGTCTGCTCTATTTATATTAAAAATTACATGAATGTTACATACAGTTTCATCAACTATTTGACTATCATAAATCATATGAATTATTTTATGACTTCTGTCAAGCTATTAAACATAAATTGATCATCTTTTTATTACTAAGTATTCGGTGTAAGCTATTAAACTGACAATCGTGCATTAACATGTTTATACTCGTTATTGACTAAATACTTACAGTTTTGGTTTACAATATTCAACACTTACAGAATTTACATAAGAATTAAGGGCAACAGTTTGTGAAAGTTGGAATAAGGCAATGTCTGGATGATTTGTTCCTGATGCAGAATTAAGCCACACAAATTTGTCAGCAAAAACTTTGACTCTGTTGGCTTGACGATCAGCTGATCCCAAGGATGCTTGAACTGAAACTGCGTTTGTGCTGAAAACTTGAAACTTAAGGATCTTATGCTTTAAAGGAAGTTCCATCTTAATACTTACTCTGCGATGCAATGACGAGCACCTAAAATCCATTTATTTGATATCAAAGATGCTGTGCATAACAATCCACCATTATTTAAATTTATTGATAACTCAGCAGTCCATGGAAATTGTGTATTTGATGCTTGTTGACCGTTGCTGATTCTGCCATCACGTTTAAGGACTCCCTGATATATCCACTTGTCAGGGTCTGATGGAACTTCGAGATTCAATTCAAATAATTTTAATTCATCTTCAAGTGGCTTCGCAGACACTAGATTTAGGACTACACTTAGTATTATGATTAATAACTTCATCTTTGAGCTTCTTAGCTGTGTTTGTTGCTTAAATTCTCGATTTCTGGTCTTTTATATGCTGGTACTATCTTAGAATTAGAATAAGATAAGATAAGGGCCAGTCAAAACATTCAGCAATAATAAAACAATTAACAATGATTTGCAGCATATTCGTAAATTTTTGTTGTTGGCCATTTCTAAGTAAATGAGTGGAAATTGCTTACCTTGATAAATTTGACATCCTAATCTGATTTATTAACCTATTTTCCAGCAGGTCTTTGTTTGAATGTGAATAATGTAATTTTAAGACGAAATAAAAGAGATTCGGTTTCCATTGAATTTTGCGCTTTATTTATAATCTTATGACAATTTTTTGTTTATTTTTTTTACTTTATTTTTTGAGCTCTTCTAAAACTTTTTGCTTAAATTATAATTTTTGATGTTTTTGGTAAAATTTGGTTAATTCACTTTTGATTATTTTAATTCACTAATATCCAGTTTATTACAAATTTATTTCTAATTTCACATTTTTTTTAATACTACAATTCTAATGACAGAACTTAATCAATTAATTTGAGAAGCTTCTAAAGCTTTTAAGTTTCATTTTTGATAATTTTAAAATTTAAAATTAATGATTTTAGTGACTCTAGCAAAATTAATCAAATTAGTTAAAATTGAAAAAAAATCTACAATTTTCTGAGTTAAAAGCTCGTTTTTAATATTTTTTACTTTTGGATGACTTGGATGGTTTCATTTGGGTAGCAAAATAAATCCTTTTCATAAATTCTTAAATAGTTTATTTCAATAACCATTTTATAATTTTTTCTGTATTGAACATTGTCTACTTAATACTGCATTTGATTTGTCTTGTTGTAAACTTAAACATTTAAATAATTTAAAATTCTCTAAAACAACACATTTTATATTATTATCTGATTTCTGTGAAAGGCTCGAAATTGATCAAAAATTAATCAGAAATGATGACAAATATTTCTGATCAGTTCCGTAACCTCGCTTTCTGTGTATGACATTGAAAATAAATTTTATTTTGACTTTTGTTCTATCACATTTAGTTGAATCTTTTTATTTTGTAATATAATTCTCATTTTTTGGTATTTACAAAAATATTTGCTTTATTTTTTAAAACTTTTTTTTATTTTTAAAATATTTTTGTGTGCTGATTTCTAAAATATTTCATCTTTATATGGTTTGACTAGTCGGATATATTTTCTGGATGACTCAAAATAGAATCAATTTTATTTGAAAAAATTAGGTTCAAGGTCAAATGAACTAAACTGATCAGCTCTTTGTCTAGAAAAAACCCCAACAACCTCCTTTATACCTCAATTATCGACTTTTTTGAGCTACTAGTAACTTAAAATGTAGTCAAAATTTACTAAATCGTAGTTTTTAAGGAAATGGTCAAGCATAGAAAAATAGAAAAATAAATATGAGAGCTGCATTTACTGTCTTACATGATTAATTGGTTCACAATATTTTCAATATTCTTCCTACAATAGTACAGAATGCAAATGTCCATCCCTTCATCTCATAATCCCACACAATCATTACAATAAATCTGCATAAGCTTAAAATTCCCTCCGCATATTCAAAAATATATGTGCTATAGATGAAAATTTTATAGGCAGTCATAAAGATACTTTATGAATATTCGACAATAACTAAAGCTCAAATTTTCAATTCCATTTACTGCGGCAAGCCATTCATCAAGTATGTGGTCATTGTTCCCTTTCCCTTAACATTTATACTTCCTCGACAGTTAAATGAGTATGTTGTATTGTCCTTGACAATCTCATGCACTTCCTCGGTCACTTGTATGTGGTCAAGTACTCCAGTTGAGTCCATACGGCTTGCAACATTTACAGCATTACCCCAAATGTCTAAAATAAAAGTTGTACAGATAAAATATTTATTTCATTAATTTTAAAAAAAATTAAAATGTTTTCCTGACCATATTGTGGTTTCCGTGATCCAATTACACCCGCCACGACGCCACCAATGTTGATTCCAATTCTCATACGGAAATTGTTGAATGAATGCTCATTGACATTCACGACTTTTTGAAATAATTCGAGAGCATAATCAATCATCGCATTGACATGGGAAAATTCTAATTTATCGCACGTGTATCGAGTCAGACCGGAGGCGGCCATATATGTTGATCCGGTACTCTTTATCTTCTCTATTGAACTATAAAAATAGTAAAATTGGGATTTTGAATTATTAATTGAAGATTTTATTAAAGTGTGGCTTAGAGTTTGCCTCACAAAATCAGCACAAGGGCGTCATTTTCATTCATTCAGACAAATCCTAAATCCTATTCAATTTACTGTAAAAAAATCATTTCACCTAAATTTATTCTGACACAACAGCTCATCAAAATCCACAATAATCTCATTCAGCAGTCTCAGACACTCAACGCCTTCGTTGTTTCCTTCCAATTCAATATAAAACTCGGAGAAATTTGCTATAGTTGCAAACATCACACAAACGCTGTCACATTGCTCATGATAAATCTCATCCATATTTTTGTCGCGTCTTAAAAAATGGTCGGCGACATGGACTGGTAATATATTGGCGAGTAGCTTCCGGTTATAAGCTTGCAGATTTTCCATATCTTCTTTCTCTTCTGTTGCTTGTAGTTTCCAAATAAAGTCTAGACGTCGCGTGATTTCTGTTTGACGACTGTGAATTATTTGACCGACCAGAAAAAACATCACAAAGACTAAGTCGATGAAGAAGCTGCAAAAATGAGAAAATTATGTTTACATCAGATTTTAATAAAATTGCTAATCCAAGTGGATAGTTGATTATGAAGCAAATACAATTGGGTCAGTTAAAACTTGATTAAATACTATTAAAACTATAAAACACAAAGAATCACTCAGCAAACACTAGTCACGCTTTTACTTACCGTTCAGTGTTTAAAAACCATAATTGACATGTTTTGTAGCTCAACAGCAGCAAAGTGCTCACACAACCGATGAAAATAAGAAAAATTGACAACAAAAGAATGATTTTGAAAATTATTTTAATAAATTGATGAACAGCACACGTAATCAAGGCAAGAAGACTTAAGATGAGAAGAATCTGCAAAAATAATAAAAAAATGCTTGAGCAAATTACAAACCCCATCCATAATTTAATTATAACTTTGTTCTTCGCAAACTTCCTTATCGTTTTCATTAAATTTTGATTTAATTTAATTTTCATACTCACATCAATTATCTTTGTATCATCACAATGACTCGACAGCAGAGATGTGTAAGTCTTTGAAGAGCGTAAAAAATCTAAAATCTGAAATTTGGATAGGAAAATTTTTAAGAATTAAAATTATTATTTTAAGAAGGATTATTATGAAGAGGTTGGAATAGGGTGCAGAGGAATAGCTATTGGGGCTTTCAGATGAATATGTGAGATTAGGTTGAAGAAATTTTCCATCAAGGAAGTATTTCTCCTGCACCTATCCTACACCTTGGTAACTGATGAGCTGGATTTTGTTCATTTTCATCCGTTCTGCACCCATTGCTCCAAAAAGAATACTTACAATCCTATGAAATGCCAAAGATATCACAGTTATAACCACGCAAAATGACAGCTTTTGAGCAATAATTCGCTGATTATGAAGACTTGTTACTAATTGATTGAAAAAATTAAGTTTAATTTGATCATAATGGAGGAGAACTGGGACTGATATTGAGACTATAACTAAAATAAATAAAGTATAGATCCAATAATTGTAGGTGGAACTGAAAATAAAACGAAAACTTTGTCACAAATTCAAGAAATTTTATTTTTAAAATCACAGAAATATTCAAAGGACTCACGCTTCATAAGACAACATCTGAATCAACAAGATTCCAATTGCGATAATAATTGTACAATAGAAATATGTCCTTAACATCGGATCCGGTTCTTGACAATATTTTTTCTCAATTTTTCCGTCCTTGAATGTGAGAAAAATTCGCCTACAATGATCCGACCTTAATCTATCAATGCTTCTAGCATCAATAGCTTTAACAAGATACTCGTTGACTTCTTCTTCCGGTGACTTGATATCCTGCTTATCAGTATTTCCCATTTTGTTATTCCAATGTCCCATCATTCTTAGTTCTTTTGATATACTATTGGTGTTTTGTGGATTTGGTCGATTTGGTGGTTTTGGAAGAGTGCTGTATCTATGTGATTCCTTTGGTATGATTAAGTAAGTCTGGATTTGGTGGTCCTTAAGATACGAATTACGTTCATCACCTGGATATAAACAATAAATAAAATCATACTGCTTAAAAACATAACAGCAAATCCTTACCATGACCATCCTCAACATCATAATGATTATTAAGACAAGCCAGCGTCTCTTTAGTGATATGAACCCGTCCTGGGATTCCACCAGATTCCATAGTATTTGCCAGTGTTACATCATTCGACCATACATCAAATTGCCATTTTTTCAATCCTAATACTCCACAATGAACTCGTCCAGTGTGAATTCCAACTCGCATATTTACATTTACAGCCATGACTTCTCTAACTAAAGCAATTGCATCAATCATGTCGAGACCCATTTCGACTGCACACGAGGCATGATCTGGACGAGCTTCAGGCAATCCACTTACACAATAATAGCAATCACCAAGGAGTTTGATTCTTAGACAATGATGCTCAGATGCTAGTTTATCAAATCTCGCAAAAAGTTCATTGAGAAGCCTCACAAGCTCTTCAGCTGTACATTGGTCAGAAAGTGATGTAAAGCCACAGATATCGGCAAACAATATGCTCACATTCTCATGCCGTTGGATATAAATTTTATGAAATTGAGCTTCCTTTGGTTGACCAGCAATATCATTTTTCATTTCCATCGCCACATGTCGAGGCAGAACTGATAATAAAAGTTGTTCTTGCTGCTGATTTTCTCTTTGAATTTTCAATCGTGCTTCCACACACTGGCGAGTTTCAAGGAAGGCTTTGCGTTGAGCTTTCTCTTTTGGCGAATGCAGAAGGATGCCTGTGACATTGGTGCATATCAGAGAGACCATCTCGGATATTATCTGTAATATAAAAAAAAAAAAGCCGTTAGCTCATTTAATGATTCTTTTATAAAATGTCGCAACAAATTTGTCATTCATTCAGTCGCAACAGTTTGAGGAAGTTTATTCCCAAAACATGAAACTCAATTGAAACAGAACTGAAAGAAGACAACACTTGGGAGAAATTAGAGGCAAAATGCAGAGCAAACACTCTCGAACTCTTGACTCGAACCATAAATTGAATAAAGAGGTATTTTTCGAGTTTATTGAACTGAATTCCCACAGCTGCAAAGTGACATATAAAACTTATTAACTAGCAAATGATGAGCAAATAAATAAATATAAAAAAGCATAGAAGAAACAGATTTTATTGCTGATTGAACTATGATTTTGCTATTTGATGTCGAATCTGGAAGAAAAAGGTTATTTTGAAGATTTCCTTGAATTAAAGAGAGGTGTGGTGTGACTTAGGTTAATAAAGGTAAACACCCAATTCCTTAAACCACTTTGTAAGCGATACAATATATCCTACAAAAATCTTAATCAGAGAGTTTAAAATCTAATAAAACTAGATAAGGAGTTCAGTATTCAATGTCCGAAAATCATGAAACTTGATTCTGAGCCACAAAAATAATCAGCGTTCAATGTCCGAAAAGCCCGAAACTTAATTCCAAGCCAGAAAAATAATCAGCGTTCAATGTCCGAAAAGCTCGAAACTTAATTCCAAGCCAGAAAAATAATCAGCGTTCAATGTCCCATGCAGACTTATTATTGAAAACGAAGTCTGGACTTATAATCACTGAACTTATAACCCAGCATCCTCCCAGAACAACAACTTCATCCCATGAACCATAAATGTCATCACATTGTCAAGCAACTTTCATGCTCGAGCATTCATAAAATTCTATCAAACAGTCCATGTCTTACCATATTCCATGTGTTCATCTTGTGAAGATGTAAAAGGAGTGTAATATGAGAAATGGATATGAGAATTCCTCCAAGAATTGCTTCCTGTAATCTTATCGGAAGCATCGTATACGTGATGTAAATGCAAATCAACGTGCATGCACCCGCAGATGTGTATTCTCTGGATGTGTGTGAGTGAATAGAGAAACTTGTTAGATTTGATAACAAAGTTATAAAAATTGACATGAAATGAAAATAAACAGGAAATGAGAGCGAAATATTAAGAACAAATTTACATTTTATGACTTGGATGTGCTCTTTATGCTTATAATGGCTGATAAATGAGATGTTCAAAATTTAATTTTGCTTTTAAAGAGTTCCTGCATCTGAACTTACATCTTGAAAATATTTACACATCCAGCCATAAGCATAAATAACATTACCAAGAATAGAAACTCATTTCGTTAATTAAGATTGACAAGAACAAGAATATGTAGCTCATTATTCATACCTGCCCATATTTGTGATTGAAAAGCTTATGTCAATAATGACGAGTGAGATGATAATGGCATATGAGACATGGAACAGATAAATCTCATTAATTCGTTGCTTATAAAGACACAGCAGTAGAATTGTATAAAGAATTGAGCATAGACCAAGTAGCGTAAATTGAATCAAGTTGGTTCCTAAAAGTTCATAAGTTCTCGTCGTTCCATCATCGACAGTCATATTAAAATAGTATGTTGTTGGCACTGCCATCGTTTGAGTATCATTGCCATCCAAAAGTGTAAAATTGACTATTTCAGTTCCGTTTGTTGTGCTCTCAATCATGAGAAGCTCACTTGCGACTATTTTTGTCATTTCCCGCCATCGATTGATAAAAAAGTGGACATGAATGATGGCAAGGATGAAAATCAGAGCAAATAAAAGCCATACAATATGAGCTGCATTATTTTGATTCATTCGTAGCAGGTAACGTTGATAAAGCATCTCAATTTGGATATTTTTGAATTTTGCTGATGCCATTTTCCGTTTTAGGAATGTCCTTAGTTTTTGAAAGCTCGTTTTATCGTTGTTACTTCCATTATCATCTATAGCACATTCACTATTATTATTATTATCCCCACTCTGATCCATTATGGACGTGTGTTCAGAGTAAGCCATATATTCACTATTAAAATTACTGTTGTCGTTCAACATACTCAAGCAGCTCTTGCTGACAATTGATTGGCGTGGATTGTTGCCACTGGCACTAGATTGCTGTGGTCTCATGTCTATATTGAATGTTGTTATGCCCGCCTACGGAATTAAATGAAAGATAAAAAGAAAATAAAGTGGTAATGAATTTTTTTTGCATGAGAAAATGAAAATGATAAGAGGATTAATGACAATCGTGTAGTTGTGCATACTGTGCGTGGAGAGTCGATTGTTTGATACATACTTAGACATGCACTGGACTCTAAACTTATCACGTAGTAAGTTTTTTGTGTTAATCATGTGAGTCCAGAGTGTAGTTGGCCAGCCTAGTCATATACAATAACATATTCATTACCATGAGTGATATCAGGAACTAAGTAAATTGCACATTTTTCTCAAATGCTGTACATTCATATACGCGCAACGATGAATGTAAAAACAAACTTTTATCGCACGTGCAGAGTCAGATTTTTTTTTTTTTTGGGGACTCAAAAAGCAATAAAAATATTCTGAATTAATTCTCGTACGAATATCACTGAAGCACATAATCGAGTTTATGGTGATGAAAAGTTCATGATTGTTATGATTGAACATTTGTGCCGAATTTGTGCCCGAAGAAGATTATCGCCATTAGTCAGTATGAAAATATGACATTGGATTATTATTGAAGGAATGTGATTGGCTTTCATTGCAGATATTCAAAATCATGGTTTTTGAATAAATTTATTTACTAAACTTAGGCACGATTTGTGAAATCTTAAAAAGCGTTTTTGAAGTTCCTGTACTTTTAGTGAAGAGAGAGAGATGTATTTATTGTCTAAAATACAAGCATTTAATATGATTCACAAAACCCTAGTCAATGCAAGCACAAATCATCGACAACAATAATTTTAATAATCTTTTAAACAACAGCATACAAAAAATAGAAAAGAAAACATAGAAAACAAAACAAAGTAAAAAGTGAGGCAAAGCACTCGTTCAGGTGAAATTGAGATTGAAAAGCGGAAAAGCTCATTAGAAGATTTTTGAGGAATAAATATTGAAGAATTTTAAGAAGATTGACGTAGAAAGCTTCAACGCTTTTCGAGTCTTTCTTTTTATTCCAATTTTTTTTTTTGCTTTAAGCATTTTTCGTTTAATATTATTGAGACTTTTGATTGCCGTTTCTTGGAAGGAATTTATTGTAGAATTAAGTGAGGATAATCTTGAAATATTTAATTTAAATTTTGAAATAATTTTTGAGTTTAGAAATTTTGATCTTTTTTTTTGGTATTTTAAGCAGAAAATTTTAATATTTCGGTTTGGTTTGTTTTGGAATTTTAAATTAATCTTTCAATTATTGAACAATTTTATTTCCATTTATTCACAGTGTTCCCCCCTGTTATTTCTATGCCAATTGATACAAAATTTAATTACTCTCAGCATGAGCTTGCAAATTAATTTTAATTTCTTTTCTTTTTCAATTGCAATTCAATTTCACTCAATTACTCTGGCGAGTGCTTTTATTGATTTTTACTCAATTTTCCAGATTGTTGCCCGAGCAACCTTGAAACTCACCCCACAGACATTCAATTTCTTATCATTTTCAAGATTTGTTTTTCAACTCTTGTGAGACTTTCAGACGGAAAGTTTCACTATGATCTAGGTGGAATTTATGATGAGTTGATGATGAGTTTTAATAAAGTTTCATGTGTAGGATGTAAAATGAAACTTCATACTGTGTGATATATGAATTCAAGGCTGAGTAACCAGAAATCAAAAAAAGTCAAAGCTAAAATTGCAAATCTGATAAAATCATCATAAAAACCAAAGCTTCAATTAATTACAACCTGAGTGGGTTATCTTAGAAAAGGATCAATTTCATAGTAAGGAATTACAAGTTCCTCGAGTAAACAGAAACTGAATCAAAAGTTAAGAACAGGAATAAAATGACTGTAAAAGTATTGAATCTCAGAAGCTCTCAATTATGAAATGAGGGATCCGATAGCAGAATTGTAGGAAAAGGTCATGGAAAATGTAAGCATACAGCAATTCATTTGAGATTGTTCAGCTATTGATTTTTCATTTTTTACTGCAATTAATTTTTAGACTTCGACATCAATCTTGATTGCTATTCATCATCATCATGGATGTTTTTATTAATGCTTGAATGAATTCATTTCTTGTGAATTAAAGATGAAATCAAGTGAAACAAGGACCTGACTTATGGAACTTATTCTCAACCAAGCTTAACCCAACTTTTGATAACTTATAATTATACTCATTTTATGGCTTTATTACTCGGCCATATTACCTCAAATATTAATTTCGTAACAAAAGTTAAAGCGCTTAACCACATTGATACACATAAAGCTTCAATTTACCTTTTTATCGCACATTATTCCCATTATAATGGTAATTATTGACACACAGGTTGTGGGTTTTCATGGTTAAGCTGATTGATTTAATCAAAACTCGTGTGAATTGATAATTGAAAATGTCAATCAGGGTGAAATTTCATCTTAATTAGTTTTAAACTATGGTTGAGGGCATTGACTATGTCTGGCTTCTTGGTGATAATTTTAATTGAGTATAATTTGACTTACTAGCATAAAAGTGAACAAAATTAAATAAGGAGTTAAAAATAAAACAAAACAAAAAAAAGACAATAAATTTAATAAAAAAAGATCAAAAATTTTTTTCATTTCAAAAAAACATTTCAAAGACGGAGTTTCCGTCGATAAAACATGCTGTAAGCTTCAGAAACTTAAGAGCCCTTTCAGAATTATTATCATTATTACCAAGAAAAGCTTTTCTCGTGTTCATTTCTAAAAGGAATTTAAAATGCAAACAAAAACGAAAAAAAGGCACAAATTGCTCACTTCCATTTTCTTATGGTCAGATCATTATTGAGCAGCAATAACAACTGAGAACTTTAGGTCAACAATATGCTAATTTATTTCAATTGGACCTTTTTCTTTCATGCTTGATGCTTTATGTCTTATTTTTTGAAATATTGAAACTTCATTTGGTGATATTTGGGGTTTTGATACTCAAACCTTGGATTCTAAACTCAAACTTGAATTCATATCTCAATGCTCATATTCAGGAGCAAATTCAGAAGTTTTTAATATTTGGAGCGGGTTCAGTTCAACTATATACCCCAATGCTTAGATTGTGATCTCAAAATTCAAATTCAATTTACAATTTTGAATTTCTAACAATCCTTTGTTATTGCTCGATGCAAACATACACATTTTTTCGCATGCTTAACTGTGTGTGTCAAATCTTGAAATAAAAAAAAAACTTTCATTTTAATAAAATTTTCTTTATTTTTTTGCAGTAAAACTTTCACTTCACCCTTCACTTTCCTAACAAGATTCGCAAATTAATACACATATCATGTCAGGATTCTCACTAGATAATTTGATACCGACCTTCTCGTATTTTTCCATCCTTTCGACCTTTTTTTCTTTACTCTTTCTCATCTTTTTGACATATTGACTCAAAGTGAAATGAGAAGGTCACAAAAACTATTTTAAACACATTATTTAGATATATTTTTTGGGTCTATTTGAGGAAGTGTGAATGCTGGTTCCGATATTAAGGATACAAAGTTGTACAGATGTGTGAAAAAAATATTTAAATTCTAAAAAATCATTCACAGAAAATTTTCAATATGCAGTTCAATCCAATTTTGTTGCTCTCCTTTCCAGATTAATTATTTGTTTGTTTTTTCATGTCTATATTTTTTATTACAAACCCTGTACCTCCCTCAAATGCCCTTCAATTAGCTTGCAAAAATTTTACACAAAATTACATTGTGGCTGCTCACAGAAAAAACAATTTCAATTAAAACTTGCTATGAGGAATGGAACTCATGTGTACACACAGAAATGATGAAACCAAAATGAATGGAATAATTTCAGTGTGGCTACAACTATGGTGATATATGAAGCTTCATGTTAAGTTTGTGATAATTTTTTATTTGGATATTATAGTAAGCTTTCTAGGATTATTTTAATTGAAGTGGGAACTGAAGAGATTTATGTAACTTCGTGTAAATGCTAAGCAAGTAAACAAAGCATCCAGTTAAGGAGAAAAATGAAGGTCAGCTAGACAAAATACAAGAATATTGAGATTCATAATGCAGCTACGAGGCTGTGATCTATAACACACCAAATTCTTCACGAATCTATAAAAAAATTTATTCTCAAAATGCATTTTATTTATTCATTCAATGAAAATCTGTTTTTATATCCTTAAGCACGTCCTTCACTCACTGAAACATTTTTTCATCCATAATTACAATTTCATCAGCAAACTATTAAAATGAGAAAAAAAAGTTGTTTCTTGCAAGTTTTTCCATTAACTTTTCAGCCCTTTTTATGCTCGATTATTGAAAAGTTTTTTGTTCAGATTTTTTTTTGCTGTCGGTATTCTTGAAAGCTTCCGTGAATATAAATTGCAGCATTATGTCGTTGATAGAGTTTTCAAGGGTTTTTTCTCGAACAAAGTTTGTACAAGAATTTTGTGATTTTGAACTATTAGTGGAAGAAACTTTATGTAAATTTAATGAATGGAGAGGATAAAAATGTTTTGTAATGTCTTGAAGAAGTTAAAATGAGCAGATTAGTATCTAAGCATGAAATAATTGAAAATAGCTTACAATCTTTACATTATATGGAAAATATGCCAATGAAAAAATTTAAATTGAATTTTTTACAAGCTTTTCTTGCTTAAAACTTTAAGAATTTCAAATAAAAAAATTAAATTGACAGCGAAAATTTCATGCTAAAGTATTTTTAATATTATTTTTCGAGACATGCTGCAATGAAGATTACGTGAGGATGTGCATTATTATGTCGATGTGTCAATAAGTTTTCTTACAGGATTGGTAATAAATCCGATAAATGTTGAACATTGTAATCTTGAGTGAAATCGTTATTATGTTATACCATGCTTGCTGCATCTATGGTATTTAAGGTAGCTTTTCATCTTTGTGCTTTTCTCTTTCTATTTATCGACTGTCTATCTTTTTTCCTTTCGTCTGTCATGTGCAGGTTTTTAGGGTTCTCCAAAAAAATCCCTTAGAATCAAAAATCTTAAAACTACGATTTAAA